GTGGTTGAATTAGAAAAAACTGAGATAAACTGGGACAGTGTCTGCCTGTTTAAAGCAAAGCTTAGACTATTTTGTTGCCAGATTGAGGATGAAGTAGGAACTTTCCTTCTGTTCAAAGTATTAGAAATATTAGACATTTTGCCTTCCAGTGTAGACAGAATCATTTTTTCTGGGAAGTGCTTACGTATTTCTTATGAATATAAACCTCGAAAATACTGTTGGAGTCTTTTTTTATGATATAGTTTTCACTTCTGGAACTAAAATCTTCTATTCATTAGGTGGGCACGGAAAGCATAATGAATGTTCTTTTCAACCTTCCTAGATTTAGCAGGCAGTATGTGATTGCCAGTGATTCCTGAAGTGTGCAGGCAACATACCAGATAGTCCTTTCTCAAACAAAGTTCATCTCTTTTCCCCATCCATTTCCGTTCTCTTTTCCAGAACTACTATTCCCTGTTCAAGGTTTCTTTCGTACCAGCTGTTTCCAAACCATCAATCCGACCTTTTAGTTGTACTCATTTCTTGTTCTTCTAATCTCTAATTTCAGGCTATCCTCCTCTTTTTAGAAATTGATGACACTTAGGGACACCAAAGGGGAAGGATCATTAGGCTGTTATTTGGTTAGTCATCACAACCTGCAGCACTTTCTTACCTTTGTCTTGCATCTGTGATGAGACACTGTGATAAGTGAATTGGCTAATGGGATTGCTGATACACATTTTTAATTTCCTGTTATGTTTCTGTATCATTTTTGGTGTTGACGAAATGCAAGCTGGGCAATGACCTTTTATAATGCTACTAAAAATATTAATAACTATGAATTTGTGAATTCAGCAACTGTTAAGCTATTAAAACTGAAAAGTGATATCCAAACCCAGGAATAACTGAAGAAACCATCTGATTCGTTCAAATATGAGAAGAATGGAGAAGGGAGAGATGGCAGAAAGTCAAATATTTCTTCCTTCCACACCATTATCTACATGGAAGGGCCAAGTTAGTTAACATGGATGCAAGTTTTGGCTTGCACAGGCAGTCTTTGCACGGGCTTCTACCAGACAGACCTCACTGATATTAAACAGTAAAAAAGAAGGAGGCTGGGAAACCACGGAAAAGGCTCGCTGGAGTGAGACCTGCCCAAAACGTGGTGATCCTACCTGCCAGGACAGCAATACACTTGCTGAATTAGGTCTCAGTAACTACAATATACCTCTTAAGCTCTCCAAGGTATCTCCAAGGCAACTCCAAGGTGGAGGGGACCAATAGCTGGATCAGCAGATACTCTGGGATAGGGTCTAGAGTGTTCGTACCGAAGGCAGTCCATGTTCTGAGGAGCAAAAGAAATGCTCTGCATGTACCAGGCCCATTTTATTGTTCATCTCTCTGAAGCAACTGGCAGAACCTCTCTTTGGCAGGTGAGAGAGAGACTTCAGAAAAAGAGCCTGTAAAGTCCATCGAAGCAAGTCTGAGTCAGACTTGCTATTAGCTGACAGTAGTTAACAAGAGTATTTAAAAACAATTCTTCCATCTTTGTAACTTTTTTCCTAAATATTGAACAATTTGTTCTACTCAGTTTCTGTTTAATATGATAGACCTCTTCTCCATCATTTCCACTAATAATCCTGACCTCTGCCTAAAGCTGCAACAGTCATTGAATGTGCTGTTCTTATGGGAACGTTCACTCTAAATAGGAGTTAGAAAAGTGCATTTTGGCATGTCTTCTTGCATAACATAAGTTGCAGGGATTTCTCAAGCTGAGACAGAATGTTTACCTCACTGATGGCTTTGGAAAGTGACATTGCAGAGGACACACTTGTCAAGCACAATAACCTTTGTTAGGTTCAGGGAAAAGATGCCATGATGAGAAGCCCTTTCTGGTAAATTTCGAACAATTTAACTAATACGAGGCCTCTTTGAGTCCTGAAGAAACACTATGGATAGTGCAAACATTGCAAGGTTAGCACTAACTGAAGAGTTCCAGAAAGGAAAAGAACAGTTTCCACAAAACCTTTATGAAGCTTGTTGTCAAGGATACAGGGCTATCGCAAAACTAGGAGAAAACTCTTACTTACCAGTGGTCCATTGCTAACTACTTCTACACAAGAAAGTGATAAATGGAAATGTAATGGAGTTCTGCGCCACCACTAAGGAGGCAATGTTGCTATGTCTTATATAGCTGGCCCACAAGAATTCACAGTGTTTCCTAACCAGAGAGATTCAACATTCCTTTGTTTTTGCTGTTCTCTGATTCAAGTGTCAAATTTTATAAAACAGAAAGGAATATTCTTTCACTAAGTTCCAAGCACGCCTGACCACCTCTCATGAAGATCACATACGTCCAGGCAGTTCCAGTGAAACTCTACGTTGCCTCAGCAGCTGAATTGGCTTTGGGGCAATTCTAGCACGAAGAAGCTGCAACAGCTGGATATCACCACTCTCCTTTCAACCCTGCAATACTGTGCTAAGGCTACTTTAATGCTTAAGCGATACCAAAAAAATTGGTAGGACTTTTAAATTTTACTGTAGTGAATTCAAGTGCTTTTGTGCTTTTCTGAGGTAAAATAATCACAAAGAATGTGTTTATGCCAAGCATGATTCTGTCCAGAATTGCTACCCCGATATGTTGGTTTTGGCTGGGGTAGTTAATTTTCTCCACGATGTATCCCTTGTTTTGCTTTGCTTGCGGGCACAGCTTTTGCTTTATCTATTAAACTTTTTTTATCTCAAGCCACAACTTTTCTCACTTTTAGCTCTCCCCCATCCCACCGGGGAGGAGCGAGCGAGCAGCTGTGCGGGGCTTAGGTGCTGACGGGGTTAAACCACGGCTCCCTGAAATGGAAATAAAGTGTTCACCTTGGAAATATTGCCAATTCTGGACCAGGACACAGCACCTGCTGTTGAACTCAAACATTTTAAATAGTAAAGATAAGACTAATTATTTTTTAAATTGACATTTTATTACATATTATTAGTGTTCAAAATTCTTTCAGCCATTCATATGGCTTTCCCAGTACTTTTCCAGTATGCAAGAACAAAGCACTCTTACCTCTTTTCTAACAAACATCTCTTGCTACAGTGATATAGAGTTATGATTGAAACTACCCTCCTGGAAGATCCAAGCACAGAGGAGAATGTTTTTTTCTTTGTGGGAGGCAGTGCTTCACAACCATTAAGGTCTGCCAGTCTGTCACATGCAAAAACCAGACCAGTCGGTGAACAAACACCTACTGAGAACTGTGGCTAGCCTGAGAGCTCCGGAGGGAAAAAAAAAAAAAAAAAAAAAAAGTTATGACATTATTTTCTGGAGTTATTTACAATTAATTTACTACCTCCGCATTGACTGCCTATATTCTAAAACTTAGTAAATGGTGCCATCTACTGGTGTCTGATCGCCGAAGAAAAGCTGTCAGCTCCTTCCAGCTCACAGCAAACAGAATAAGTAGTTTCACCTCAAAACCATCACGATGCACCACAGGCACAAAAGCAATCCAAGCTGGACAGAGGTAGGTCTCAAGCAGACCCACCAAGACTCTCTGCATCCTGCTGCCCAGTGCTGCTGGCACGGAGTGCAAATTTCTGAGTTATCCCAAGAGGTCTGCAGACCCTCTTCGTCAGCTTTTTACTGAACACAAGCTGGTTCTGCAAGTAAAAAGCTCGTTCACATCGTACTGTATCTGAACTCTCCAACTCCCACAAATAGCTTAGATTTGACTATATCTGTCACATTTTAATAGTATTTAACATGGGAAATGACACTAAAAATTGAAAAATTACCTCATTACTCCTCCTATTCTTGGCCTGAAAATGCTAAAGCTTTTCTGATTCCCTGTAAAAAGTAAAACGTTTTCAGTTCTCTTGTGGTAACAGGTAGTTATTTCTGGAAAATGGTATTACTGTGGTTTTACCTCTCTAATAACGGATTATGTCTGGTAAGAAACTGAAACTGAAGATACCTCTTACAAAACAGACAAAAATGTGTTAAGCATCTGAACTTTTTATTGAAGAATCTAAAATAGTCCTATTTCATTGGTAGTTTTGAGGCCACCATGACACTTCATGTGACCAACCTAAACTGCAAAAAAACCAGTAAAAGTAATCTTAATACACATTGTTCTTACATGTTTGTTTTTTTTTCGGAACCAATGAAATCAATATTTCCACTAACTTTAATAAATATTGTCTTGTAAGATATACCATGAACTCTTTTTCAGATTACTAAGAAATACTTTCCATGACATTTGGATGAAGTATAATGATGAAATTTTATGTACAATAATTCTCAGGATTTTCTGGAAACAACACCTCTTGTATTTCATTCTTAGATTTTGCTATTATCATCATAATTTTCATACACCGAATGATACAAAGAACAAATTATATGCAACTTTCAATCACAGACACCTGAGGACGATAAGTTAAATCTATTTAGGTGCATGTGGAAAGACACCTCAAAAATTCTGAAGCATAAACAAATCCATTCAAAGGCATTATGAGGAATATGGGTCCAAACAACACAGAAATTAGTGGCTGATTATACTCAAGTGTCTTGAGTAAATGCTTTTACAGAAAATGTAGTAATTATTTCATTTTGCCAAAATAACCAATTTTTCAAACTAGGCTTTATTTCTAAAGAGATACACGTTGTTCTACAGCCTTGTGTGCTTTTAAATCATACTAAAGTTACAATGGATCTTGTACAGATTTCTTCTGTAAACACAGAAATATGAAGCAATGAAAAAAATGGCAGCTGTAAAAATGAACTCATCTACTCTAGTAGCTGAGGAAAAATATTCCATGGTTTGATTTTCCTCTAATATTTATGACATAGTTGTTCAAATCTTAATTTTTTTTAAAGAGCATTTGTAAAATTGAACAATCACAATACTTAAGGGCTGCCATCATTATTCTAAATTTAGAGTATTATGTTCTGGGATCAAAATATTTTCTCCATCTGAAAATAACAAGAATTCGTTTAATCAAAAATGCTGCAACCTGTGGCAACCTTATGTGTCCACGTTATCGCTGTCTGTTTCAGCAATACCCTCATAAAATAACGGGAGAGATATGGAAGATGTAGTCTGTGATTTATCTAGCTTCCTACCAGTATTTTCATCAAGCTTTGATGCAATAAGCCTTTCCTTCTCATGTGTTTCTTCTTCAAAGACAGCACTGTTATAATGTTCACGATGGCACAAGAAAGATTTATTTTTAAAAGAGCGCTGCTTCAAATACTTCCTGAAGGCCCTTTGAATAATCAGAGCCGATACCTCCTCTTGTTTTCTTTTAAGGGTAGTAGTAATTGGCTTGCAAGAATCTTTAGATGGATTGGCAGCCATAAATTTTTCTTCCATGTGTAATTCAAGACCACCCAAATCCCCAGATTCTCCTAAGACCCTTTTAGTGAAAGCAAGCAAGATATCCAAGCAGTGGATCTTATCTCCACTAACTATAGGGAGGTCCATCGATATGAGCTGGATTTTATTAGGCTTTGGAATACGTAAGGGTTCTGCCAGAGCATCTGCAAAGTCTGAAAGAGCAGAATATTCAATAAACTGTGTTGCCTGAGGATCAAAAATTCCCCAGGTCTCATAAAACATATCAAAGTCATCCTCACAAAGAGGATGCGTGCTTTCTTCAGTGGCAACATTGAAGTTCTCTAAAATGACGGCTATGTACATATTTACAACGATGAGAAATGATATAATGACATAGCTTACAAAAAAAAATATACCAACCTCCCTATTTGTGCAATTTTTTCTCTGGCTATCTGTTAAATTTAAGTTGGGAGCACACGAATTAGATCCTTTTAATATAGGGACCAAAAGACTATCCCAGCCAGCTGATGTTGTAATTTGGAAGAGACAGAGCATGCTACTACCAAAGGTTTGAAAGTTGAAAAGGTTATTAATCCCACCTTCCCAGCTAAGACAGGCAAAGTTTGTCATGCCCACAATGGCATAAATGAACATAACTAGAAAAAGCAAAAGGCCGATGTTGAACAGTGCAGGAAGAGACATCAGTAACGCAAAAAGAAGAGTTCGAATTCCTCTAGCTTTTCGAATTAATCTCAGGATTCGGCCAATTCGTGTCAAACGGAAAATTCTCAGAAGTGCAGGAGGGAACAAAGTTTTCAAGCCTTCGGAAAGTCCGATACCTTTGAAATGAAAAAGAAAACAAAATGTTGTCAAGTCATATCAGTGAAATTCCCATTTATGTCCATTTTGTTACGTTCTGTGCTTCAGGTGTTGAAAGTATCCTTGATCATATTAGATCACTTTCAACAAAAACATCATCAATACTGCAATTGCTTACACAAGAGCTTAGGAAAAGAAAGACAAATTGTAATGCAAGGGGCCTACAAGAAAGCTGGAAAGGGACTTTTTACAAGGGCATGGAGTAATAGGAAAAAGAGCAATGGATTTAAACTGAAAGAGGAGAGATTTAGATTAGATATAAGGAAGAAATTCTTCCCTCTGAGGGTGCTGAGGCACTGGAACAGGTTGCCCAGAGAAGTTGTGGATGCCCCATCCCTAGAAGTGTTCAAGGCCAGGTTGGATGAGGCTTTGAGCAACCTGGTGTAGTGGAAGGTTTCCCTGCCCATGGCAGGGGGGTTGGAACTAGATGAGCTTTGAGGTCCCTTCCAACCCTAAACATTCTATGACTCTATGATTCTATAATACCTTTAAATATTAAAGAGATATCAAGACTATGTATAGTTTGGAAACTGCATTCTCCCAGACTTCTCTAATTCAGTGGATGAAATTACACATTGTTCAAGTACTTAAAAAATCCTTTAAAATCCATTCAGTTCCTGTGCTGGAAGCTATGAGGCTTGTCTCCTAGCAGCTGTCTGACTGCTCCTTCTTCTACAGGCTTAAGCCACATGCTAAATTTGAGACTTTCATTAATGCTTAGTACTTGAATGACATCAGAGCAGAGCAAGAAGAAAATAAATAAAAACTATATTTCAGTATTCATCCTCCATCAAACCTCATTCTACGATCCTACTATAAGAGTAATGAGTACCTCCAGTGATACAGTAGTAATGCAAATGATTGCAAGCAGAAGACTTAAGAAGTCAGCATTTTTCTGGGTTGCATGGGATAACAAATGGGTACCGTGCTTAGCGACGAAGTAGAGAACTCAAATCAGTTTTTCTTTCCCATCTTTTATTCTACGATATAACCTGAGTCTGAACAGGAAGCATTGACCAATTAAACTGTACAAGAAACTAAAGCTATATATGACCCTTTATAGAGGAAACAATAAGCATCTAGTCTTATTTGGAAGGCAAAACAAAACCAAGCCACTTTTAACAAGACTTTCCACAGTCACAAATAGTGGCCCAGATTTAGAACAGTGCTGGGCAATTACATTTTCCTGAGCTTTCTAAATCAGTCCTCAGGATCTGCCTTCTTAAAAAAAAGTCCTGGAAAAGGAAATAAATCTTTCCCATTTTTCATACAAATGCATATTTAACCTGAAGGTACTTTTACTGTGAAAACAGCAGTTAATGTGATTAGATGTAAAACAAAAGCATAAAAAAATTAAGATAACTTAGAAAAGACGTTACTGCATTAAATTCCTATTCTGTTAATTACTCAATAAAGTTCACACTTTAAAAAAAAATTGAAAACTATCCATTTACCTTTTAGTACTCTGCAGAAATATAAGGGGAAAAAAATATCCTTTTAGAAAGAATCACTTAGCACATAGTTTGAAAAAGTAAAACGGATCTGGAATTTGTTCATCATATATATTTAAGTGGTTAACTCATACTGAAATTTAGCTTAGTATTGGTAAGACATATTACCTGATCTAATAACAATTGATACTTACTAATTAGGGAAAAGACCACAACCGCTAAATCAAACATGTTCCAGCCACTGGTGAAGAAGTAATGTCTTAGGGCCAGTATTTTTATGACACACTCCCCAGTAAATACCGCCACAAAAAAATAGTTTATTTTATTAAGAACACTCTTGGTGCTACTCTGGTCATTTTCTGCCATCATAACGACCATGTTTAGACAGATGAATGTCACGACGACGATGTCAAATGCTTTGTGCGATACTATATCAAACAGTAATCCTTGGAACATGTTCTGTGGAGAGAACGAGAGAACTGCTTAATGCTTCTTCTAAGACCCAGGTTACATTCAGATCTCAATCAGTAATTTGTGCTTAGAAAGAGCATTTAAGAGAAAATAAGTTTAACAATAAGCTACAGAAGCATTTTTAGGTTATTTCTTGAGACCTTCAAAGAAAACACTCGTACTTGGCTAACTATTTTCTGGTATCAGGCAATCACATTTCATTAGAAAAAAAAATATACAGCAGGAAAACATTCAGAGTACATTGTGATTGCTGTTTTAATAGAAATACTTATTGAAGCAGACACTAGAGGATAAGCAATTCTAATTAAAATGTCATAAGCAAGAAAAATTCTGAATAGTTACTATGTGAAGCCAAGCCTGGAATCAAATTTAAGAAACTATAAGAAATAAAGCATAAGATTATTTAAAAGTAATTAACAGCCATGGGGCATTGTACTACTCACTATTCATTCTCACCTGCAATAATCCAATCTGGTTGCAGAAGCAATGTCATGCAACTTAAGTAACCAAGATCATGTTCTGAATAGCAAATACTTAATATGAACCTTTTTAAATAGGTTGCACATTTGAATAGGTGATAAACAGGCTGTAAATTTCCTTAAATTAATACTCACAAAGAACGACTGCATTAGATGGAATTAAGAAAAAGAGAGTAAAATGTAAATAATACATTAAATGAAGACGATAACAGGCTCTAACATGAAGTTTATTTCCAGATGCCTGGCTACTGAGCTTAGATATGGTCACCATCTTTATATCTTCCATCATATTTTACTTAAGACAGTCTCACCAATGGTCTTGGGATGGGTTTTTGAGGTTTCTTGGATTCAAGTTTTTTTAGGGCATTATAGTACTTTTTCTGTTCCTCAGTCAAAAATAGATCTTTTCCACCTAAGTAAAGGGAAAGAATACTGTTGTTCAGCTGAAGTTTAAGCAGTCAGTTAAATAAACACCAGCAAGTTTATGTAAAAAAAAAGTAAATTAACAGCTGTTGTGAGTGGGATCTAAGAGACCAGCAAGATAAAATGTGTCTTCATAATTTCTCCTTTTTTGCTTTTTCTTTGAAGAGATGTACTGCAAAAAGGTGATGAGGGTTTGATCATGAAAGTCCAGTCTAGTCAGTGTTCTGAGTCAGTTTCCTCAAATGTGAGAGACTTTCTGAAGTTTTACAAATCTGTTTCATGTTTTTAAAATAAGACTCACCAACAAGTAAAATATTTTCGATTTATATTTTTGAGAAAGGTAGGAACAAAGTATATTGCTGGGCTAGTAAGTAAACGGAAGGCTATGAATAAATATTTTGGGACCAAGTTCTATGGGGGATTCCCGATAATGAATTTCTGGTACTCATCTCATTACCATCTATGCCACCTGTATTCCTGAGCAATCACTTTGAACTGAGTGTTCAGGAGAAGCTGCTCATCATAAAAGCACTGAATCATTAGCATTTTGTAAAACAAACATGTAACTGTTCAGTAGGGCACCTGCACTTTGAATCACTCTGGCAAGATCTTCGAAAATTCAATTTCACTTCACGGTGCTGAATTTCAGTGAAAGTATCAAAGCAGCAGCAAAGAAATAAAAAAGAAAAAAACACCCACTTACAGCATATACTGAGAAAGGAAAAAATTGTTACATCCACATGGACTTGTAGTAAGTGCTCAGGCTCATAGTTAACCAGCATTGTATCCATCTGTTGGGATTATTATAACTGGGAATTTGTTATAAAAGGAAATTATTAGAGTGAAATTCTCTGTTGTTCCTCAACCCCCATATATCCTTTCTCTGTTCAAATGCAGAGAGCAGAAGAATATCTCGTGGGCCTTATTGCCATCCATCTCTACCAAGGGCAGTAATTCTCTGACACTTGTAAGTGTGTAAGTCAGTCTATGGAAATAATAAATGGATCCTGTACAGATTCTGTCTTCCAAACGTGAACTTTGAGACTGTAAACATCCTGTTGGGGTCTGGTTTTGTGGTATGTTTTTAATGAGCAAGATGATTATTTGTTTTAGGACTTCCAAGTGGGTTAATTGACTCAATTTCTCTTGATATTCTGGATATTTTAAACCCCTAAATGAATCAGGGAGAGCACTCAACAAATAAGCTTGGCACAAAGAAGCTGAAGTACCAGGGAAGGCTGACTGTTGCTTTTCTTCGGTTGTTGCATTTTCCATTCTAAGATTTTGCCTTCCATTCCTCACTGGATAAAAAGAACAGGGGATCTAACAACTACGAAGAGAAAAGTGGAAGCAGTCAGGGCTTTCTGGGCTTTAAGAAGACTTTAAATTTCTAGATGGTCTCTTCCTGGGGCCACGGCTTGGATTTTAATACACAGATTTTTAAAAATCCCAGTAAATTAATCTGTAGAGTCACTTTATCGACAACAGGATTTTTCAAATGTAGCTACTTCTAGAAAAAGTTCTGATTAACAAGATCTTTTCAAGTTTTTTTTACCAGCAAAGCAGTGGTTACTTCTCCCATGAGCCGTAGTGTTTCTTGATTATCCTTATCACATTTGTTAGGTGTTCACTCTTAGCAAAAAGGGTTATTCTGTTCTCAAAAGTAAATCTTCAAAAGCAGAAGAAAATAATTCCACTCTCCCGTAGCAAAGTCTATATAACTTTTCTTGGATTCTCTTTTCTAAAACTGCCCACTCCTTCCTCCTTGTCCTCCTCTTTAGACCAAATTACAGACTTAGTATGAATATAGAATTTACAGGAAAATTACTAATAGTTTTGAGGAAAAGGGGACTCCTGTTTTCAAAACTTGGTACCTAAATATTATTTTAAATTTTTCCAGTCAAATAGTTATCTGAAAATAGTAGATATTTAGATGTCAAACTAGCATTCACTTAATCAAATCGGGGTTACAAGAGACCCTGAATTAGCTCATGTAATACTTATCTTTTTCCTTTGTTGGTTAAAATTGCTGATAACCACTCCAATGAAAAGGTTCAGCATGAAGAAAGATCCAAAAATAATGAAAATTACAAAATACATATACATGGCTAAGAATGCTTCAAACTTTGGCTGTTGATCTCTCTGTTGAAAAAATAAAAACAGAAAAATAATATCGGTAAAATCGGATAATTACAGCTTTATCTTTCCAATTTATAATAAAAAAATCTTTTTATTGTCAGGAGTGATGAATTATTTCTACACATTTGAACCTTTATTTAGATCTCGAGCAAATACTCAAGTAATAAACAGAAGTGATACTGCGAATGCCTAGATTAGAAAAACAGCTCCGACTAAAAATAATGGTGAATTGTCATCCCCTTGAACGCCATCCCAAACAAGAAGCACTTTTAAAAAGCCAGCTCTCCATGATCGGCCCTACAAGGAATGAATTTTCTAATTAGCAGCTATTTCACTACATTCAAGAGCACAGCACTTGAACGAGTCAAGAAACTGCAAGTTACATTAAACACAGAAAAGTTGAAACACATTGTACTAGTGAGAGAGTGAGAAACAACACCTGGAAATGGGGAAGAAATACTAAGGATGTCAAATATAGGGAAGAAAATCTCCAGAAATAACTGCTGAAGATGCATGCCACTTTAATGCTACTGCACACACTCAAGAAAAAAGGAAATTTGCTTCAGAGGCACAGTCCCTCCAAGATCTTCTGAACTCTGTTCCCAAAACAGACTTGTCCAAAACTTGCAACATCTTGCCCTCTGCATTCTTGATGCAGTAAGTTTTTGTGCAGTGTCACTCTATTTTGACTGGGTTTTTTTGTGTCTAAGTTCCAGATACTTAGTATTCCAAGCATTATTGTCTCACTGCATAGCTCGAAGCATTCATCCACTTGTTTTTCTGACTTAATATTGCAAACAAAGTTGAAAAATTAATTGTATAGATTGTATAGATAGAAAAGGAAAGAAGGAAAGGGAAAAGAACTAGAATTCCATTTTAGTGACATACCCCACGTGAATCCACTGCTGCATACATGATTTCCATCCAACCTTTAAAAGTTGCCTGAAAAACACACATTCTTAAGGTTATTATCACTAAAATAAAAATAAATAAATAAATAAATAAGGTATTGCTAATACAAATGTGTTAAGAGTTATGGAAAAATGAGTAGTGTGCGATAAAAAATGTGCACCACTTCCAAAGATCTGCTTGGAAGCATGATTCACCAGTTTGGTAAAAAGGAAAAAAAAATAAAATTATTTCCTGAAAACAAAAAAAGTTGTCACGAATCCTGTGAAATGTGTTTCAGTGTTAACTCTTGTGAAACTGAAATTTTTGTCAATTCCCTACTTTTTCAAAAAGTAATAAAAGTTTCAGCTTAACTAGTGAATATATCCTAAAAGGATAAAAACAATTTTTCTAAGACAACAGCAGATGATTCCTTCCTGCAATTTTTAGCAACTCTGCAGATCATAGAACACTCTGAAGGACACAGGGCAAAGGAATTCATCTAGAAAAGATACAGGGATAACAGCCACTTTTTAAAATGCTTTTCTCTCCTTTGTTGTGCTATTAGGGAGATCGATACATCAGCATCCCAATACTTCGTGACTTATATAATAAAAGAAAATATTGAAATAGACATAAACTGCAATGTGCTGCTTCTTTCTCATCCACTCTGAACTAAATTTTATGAAAGAAAAAGAGAATAACTTTAAATCTTGCAACATGCAGACTATTTCAGGCTTAGTGCGTTAATCAAAATTAAAATGAAATTGAAAAGCCACGAAACGCAATGCTTGATTTTAACACAAGGTTTCCAATGCTAAAGTGTTCTTCAGGAGGAACTGAGCAGCTTGTAGACAAGAAAAATATTTATGGAAGCTAAAAAAAGTCCCAATTTCAGGGAGATAAATAGAAGCATAGTGGTGTCGCATGGTTGGGCTGCTCAACATATATCCTTGAAGAAAACAAAACTGAAAATGTTTTTAGAGAACTTACCACTTGCAGAAGAGCCAAGTATCCCATCCCAACATTATCAAAGTTTACATCACTATTTGTCCATGTTCCATTATAGACAATACAACTACTTTTGTTCTCAATATGTTCGATACTTCCTGTCTCGAGTGTGCATTTCCAAAATTTTTTTCCAACTAATTTTACTCCTGCAATGTTAAATAGGAGCCAGAAGACAATACAGACGAGCAAAACGTTCACGATTGAGGGGATAGCTCCCAAGAGTGCATTCACAACAACCTTAAATAAACAAAATGAATGAAAAGAATGAATTATTCACATTCAATAGAACACTTTCCCAGAACAATACTTATTTTCCTTCTGTATCTATTGAATATTCTCACCCATATAAAAACTAGTAGATGACAAATTTAAAGCCAGCCTTCAATCCAACTTCAAGCTTGTTTTAACATGTAATGCTACAGTATCTATCTTGCCTTTTTGAGGAAGAGAAACAATTGGCAACCAGAATTATCCTTGGGTAAAAGAAATACATAAAACAAGATTATGAGCCTGTAGTAGCCCCAGGATCTAAAAATCAGGTATAGGGAAATGGGTTGTAGGATCTGCATTTACTACTTATTTTATTTGTATTCATAAATTTCCATGAAAGTGTTAGGCATTATTTCAAAATAAGAACAATAAGGTGTAAGTAGGCAATCTGAACCATCCTAATGCCATCAAGACCCAAAACAGAGATTCAAGTTGTAATTTTCACAAAACTTCAAAGGCAGCTATTACAAAATACATCCCCCCCCCCTCGATATCCTCACCTTTATCCCTTCAAATCTTGACAAAGCTCGTAGAGGCCTCAATGCTCTAAGAGTTCTGAGCGACTTCAGGGCACTCCCAGAGGAACAAGGTGATGTGTCTTTGGAAACAGTAGTTAATCCCCAGGAAACAAATGACAGCTGTGTTCATTGAATTGAAACTGAGATTATTAAATGGTACACAAAAAATTATTTTATTTGTGTCAGTAGACAATCAGAGGCTAAATGTTACAATATCTTTGACCAGTAAGTCAAATGCATAAAATACACATTCAAAGTTATAATATAATTTTACTTTTTTTTCCTAATATTTTTCAAATAATGGAATTCTTTCATTCTAATTTGAAACACTTGTTTTTTCTTTTTTTTTTTTCAAAAACAGTTCATATAATATTTTAGAATGCTAATATAACAACCAAATTGGTAACTAAGGTAATTTCATACACTATAAGACGAGAGAGGATTATTCAAACAAATAATTCCCATTTTCTGCATAGTTATTCTCAGAGGTGTATACAGTAATTCCTTATCATATCTTAAGATGGTGATGTGCAAATAAAAAATATTTTTAAAAAGGTATCCATTCTTCATTCTAAATTTTCGTAAGAGAGAAAACGAACAGAAAACATTAGAAATAATTACAGATTTTTTAGAAATTTTTTAGATTAAGAAATATTTACAGATTTACTTTTTTTTACAGATTTTTTTTTTTTTTACGAACAGAAAACATTGAATGATTACAGATTTTTTCACTGTTCATGTTTTGTCTGTTCCTTCCTATTTGAATTTGTTGTCTCATTGTCTAGTCATTGGGTATTTTCATGCTTTTGCTCTGTTTTGGACATCACTGCTATTAATATTACAGAACTGTAATTGCTAAAGTCATGCTATATGACAAAGATGATCAGAGGGCTGGAGCACCTCTGCTATGAAGACAGGCTGCGAGAGTTGGGGCTGTTCAGCCTGGAGAAGAGAAGGCTCCAGGGTGATCTTATTGCAGCCTTCCAGTACCTAAAGGGGGCCTACAGGAAAGCTGGAGAGGGACTTTTTACAAGGGTGTGTAGTGATAGGACAAGGGGCAATGGATTTAAACTGAAAGAGGGGAGATTTAGGTTGGATATAAGAAACAAATTTTTCACTCTGAGAGTGGTGAGGCACTGGAACAGGTTGCCCAGAGAAGTTGTGGATGCCCCATCCCTGGCAGTGTTCAAGGCCAGGCTGGACGAGGCTTTGGGCAACCTGGTGTAGTGGAGGGTTTCCCTGCCCATGGCAGGGGGGTTGGAACTAGATGATCTTTAAGGTCCCTTCCAACCCTAACCATTCTATGATTCTATGATTCTATGATTCTTTGTAAATCGTCATAATATTAGATTTTCCTGTTGAAATTTCCTATTACTTCATAACTTTCAATGCTGACTATTCAGAAGCTATCAAATAGCTACTTTGATGTTACTGCAAGTCAGCTGTTTAGATGTCCTTATTTTAAAATATTTAACTTCAGTATCTTCCCAGTGCACCGTTGACATGCAAAAATATTTCATTATTATATGGCAAGATTCTATTATTTAACTTTTTCTGAATTCAGAATAAATATGTATGTACTGAACACTGCACCTCCTCCACCTCACTGTTAATGATTCCAGCACTTCTCTTTAAAGCCATATAAAGGATTGCTAGGATTTCTTTGGTTGCAAAGCAAAACATAATTTCCTATATCTTTAACTCTCTGGTAAATTATATTTCCAACAACACTTTTCAACTCCCTTTACCATCTAAATTTCTTCTACTTAAGGAAGCAACTATATTGTTTTCTATTTCTAAATGCCAGAGCTGCCAGCAGTTTCACATTTTTCTATATTGTCTTAATTAATTTACTATATTTTTATTTCTGATCGCTAATTGCACTCTCTACATTCAAAAAGGTTTTTATAACCCATGTGGTCCTCAATGACAGTGATAATTCATAAAATTTTGTTAAGCAACTTCTGATTATTATTTACAATTTCCATTTAAAATTTGTCCTAAAGTCTCTTTTGACTGCAATTATTTTTTTCAGTATTTGGAAACTGTATTTTACACCTCTATTTACTCATAGTCAGATTTTACCTGTAGATCTCTACAGGAAAAATATCAAAATTCAAAATGTAAGACAAGCCAAATAGAATACTTACACATACAATGATGAAGTCAAGCCAACACCAGGCATTTGTGAAATAACTGTGCAAACCATAAGCTACCCATTTCAGAAGCATCTCCAGAAAAAAGACGTAGGTAAATATTTTATCAGCATACTCTAGGAGTATTTTCACATTTTTTCTCTCCTGCAGGTGAATATCTTCAAATGCCTGGAATTTCAGAAGTCAGTTTTAAAACAGATCAGCGGTTTTATGGAAAACTGTTTTAAAATTGCACAAAAATACACAGTTTGGCTTATTATAACCATTTCATATTAAATTATGGTCAACTACCACTTGTTTTTTTATACTTAGAAGTAAAAACCTAAATTCTAAAATAAGTGCAATCTCATTTTCAGATTGGTTGAAAAATCACATCATTTCAGTTGGTTACGCTCAATGCTTCTTCAAAAAATATCTGCTGAGGGTTAATTGTGCCTACCAAAAATCTTGGCCTCCCAAGTTAGTGGAAAATTTTGAAGGTGTTGGTCTAAAATTCTTCATAATAAAGCTTAAATTAAATACATTAATCACCGTCTTTCAGACCTAGATCTTCCAAAGGAGTCATCTTTAGTCAGCCTGCAGAGTTGTAATACAGATACGAAAAAATACGACAAACACCTTATCTGGAACTGTTCATTCCTGGAGTTTCATGTTTTTTCACCTAAAGTTTGACATTACTTTGATGTCGATAAGGGCTTAGGAAAATTTTTTATTGATTGTTGTAGTTTACTTCATTGTTCACTGCATTTAATATATTTGCTGCCTTGCTAACTTATTTTAAGTTTTTGATAATGCAAATCTATTCCAAATTCATTTAACACCTTGTATTATTTCCTCACCAAGCCTCTGGCAATGTCTTTATTCTTCCTTTCATCCATTTCTCCCCTACCTTATAGCTCCATCTCCACTTCACTTCTCTTTTGCTGCCAACGTTTCTAATGATCCATACATCCATTTTCACCACCACTATTTCCCTGTTACAAATCCATGTCTGTCAATACTTCTGATTAAAATTTTTCTTACTTATGTAGACATATCAGAAGCCACCCTGCACCACACCCTTTCCTATACCCTACAATTCCTAGACATAAATCACTCAACCTCCTCTTGACTCCTTCCTTTTCATGCTGTCTCAAAATCTCAGTGTCTCTAGAGCGCATCAGAGCATTTAACAACTTCCTTTTCTCTTACTCACATTCAAATCTGTGTCCCCTTCTCTGACATTGTCTCTGCAGCTGCTAAATCTTTGTCTTATTTCTTGCCACGAGACAAGTAAAAAAGTTGAAATGAGAATTTTAAGAGTGTGTCCTCTGAAGAGGAATACACCATTTGACATCCTCAGGATGTCGAAACACAACGTCTTTATTTGATAGAAAAGCAAATGAGCATAGAAAGATCAATTCATTTGCCCAAAGCCACATGGCCATAGCCTGTGACAAAGGTCAGGAGCCAAACAGAGGGTGTCAAAGCTTTAATCCATATCCAGTTTCAATCTGTATCAGCGCTTCACTTCACAGCTCCTTACCTGACTGTGAAATCTCTTATTCTGTTATTATTTTTTAATAAGCTCATTGAAAGTCAACACCCTCTAAGGAAATAGCAGGCTGTGTCACATGGGAGACTGACCCAGTCGATCCACAGACCTTTTGTTGAAGGGAACATGGTAACAAAGACATGTCAAGGGTTTTGCAAGATTTAGCTCAGCTACAGCAGACCTTAACAGCCGCAAGTTACCAGCAGTCACATTAAACCATTAAATGTTTCTTGCAGAAACACCTGAGTGCCTCTGCTACGTGTCTCCAGCGCTCTGGGAGAAGATGATTATTTAGGTATTATAGCAGACCTGATCTGCTCCCCTGCATTTACGACATGCTACATATAGTCTAACAGGCCACTGACAAGGGGGAGCAGGAGCACAACCAGGTGTTAGATCAAGTGAGACCTGAAACAATAACGTAGCATCATTGCTGTGTTTCCATTTTATATTCCCACTGAAAAACCACAGGGCAGAGATGCTCCTATATATAGTTACCAACAATCTGTTAGAACTCATGTAGTTCTGCTCTGCAGTAATACTGCTTCTGGAGCTAAGTGGTCTTTGAAGCAGTGGTCATTCAACTGTGCTACAATTAGGAGAAATGTCTACAGAGCAGAGCCATCACTCTGTCCACAGGGCTCATAATTTGACTACGGGTAACCGAGAACTCCCAGCATTCATGTACTAAACCTATTTACCATTCCCTACCTTTTTTCTGAGCGAGTTTGATAATTAGCATTGTCTTTTTCACTGTTTAACCTGGGCTACCTTGATTTCCATCCACTAGTCAAATCACCCATTCAGACTTCTAATTACTAACTCTTCCTTTGCTCTGAGCACTGAGCCCTCACCACGTACTTTTCTATATGTTCTTTCTATGATCACCATCTCATTTAATTTGCTTCCAAGCCATGGACATGCCTGATGGTATGGTATCCCTTCGTTCTAGCTGGTTCAGGAAATTCTATATCAGCAAACAACTTTATAAACAAACAGAAAATGGACAAGACCCTTTTTGAAAGAGGACAACAGTATCTTAGAAATATGAAAGTTCTCAACATTACAATACATCTTTGATGAAAAGAAATCATTATAGTTTCGTTATTTTGCATCTGGATACTAAATAGTTTTGTGTTCAACTTAGCTAGATCCTACAGTACATTAAATAATAACTCAGTTTCCTTCCCTACTTCAGTTTGGTTCCACACAAGTACAGAGGAGCCCTCACTGGAATCCCAGGGAGTTCCCTTGGAGATTTTGCCACGGAAATTTTAAAGCAGACAGTTCAAATCTATGGTTCAGTGTACAACCTAAACTTGCACACAGAATAGATTTTATTTGGAAAATTCTGACAGCTACCATATAGATCACTTTCACACTAGTTAGTTATGTTCCCTCTGCAGTACCTGTTTTATTTAACAAATTACGTTCAGTAGACCTAGTGAACACATTTTCAAATCCAATAAAACTTCCTTTATTCTTCAGTAGAAATGGATAGTCAGAGTAGTAATGAAATATTAAGTCACCGACCAGTTTACAGCCATCTTCACTTTCAGATTCTGATTATCTTAATGTTTGGGTGATTTAAAATCTAAATTTTTACTGAGCACTTAGTCTGCTTTACAATTTAAGAAGTACTTTTATGTTTTAAGCTTTCCTAAGTAATTTCAGACCCTGATTTAGCTTTCCAATTGAGCACACAAGTGTGTGAGGAGTTTCTTCAAGTTTCATGAAGAACTACAAAGACTATGATCCTATACATTTAAATATCTTATCCAAGTCAGGGAGAGCCTTATAACTTCTAAGGGATACGTTCATTATACTCTTGTCTCCCTCTGGGGAATGTGAGAGTAGAAGAAATAAACTAAATACAATAATATGATTATTTTCCTTCACTGACAAACATCAATTTGAAATTTGAGAAATTAAATTTACCAGTGCCACGCTGCTCAATATTATCATAAAAATTATAAAATTTTCAAACCAGCTATGTTTAACAATTCTGTAGCAGGTTTTTCTAAATTTCCACCACGTTCTGCCTGGAAATTTAGTGATATCCACTACACAACATGGGAAACATTGCACACAACCTGAAAAGAGAAAGAACAGTATATTGGTTCCATGGAAAATGTGGAGACATGTAAAAAGTGTAAGACATCTTAAAATGAAACAAAGAATATGCTGTTTTACCTGTGAGGTAATGTTGTGACTGAGAGCTAAAGAAAAGCCAAAATTTGTACGCTGAAATAATCTCTTTTCATAGAGCAACTCATACATGGAAAAACCAAAGAAGCTTTGTGCCCACAAGCCCTTCTGCAAGAATTTAGTCTAAAAAGCCATTACTTCTGTCTAATGCTAACTTCTATTTTATCTTTTGCATTTATTCTTTTTGTTTTGAAAAGAGGTATTACCTTACTAGTGGTTTAGTAAATTATTATTTTTACTGATTATTTCACTTGATTGCACTGCAGAAACACTACAACTAGATTCTCTGTTCGCTGTTTTGCACCGAAACACACTTCATTAATCTGCAAAGGCAATCAAAGGTAGGTGTCCGCATTGGGACAATCCTCTGAATTCCATCAGCTGTATTGAGCAACCTGGTGTAGTGGAAGGTGTTGCTGCCCATGGCAGGGAGGTTGGAACTAGATGACCTTTGAGGTCCCTTCCAACCCAAACAATTCCATGATTCTATGGTTCTATTACCTCATTAGTCATTCACTGCACTGAGAGCTCAGACAAATTCAGTTGAAGTGCCATTTAAGATACCAGGTTCTGACACAGATATCCTAACTGACCTCTAGCTGTCCCATCAGAAGTGCTTTGAGTGCCTTTGCTCATATACAAATACCTACAGTACGATGCCTCAATGTAAGACTGAATCACACTCCAAAGACGGAATTTTTCTGCCTAAACATTGGGGTTTAGAACCATTTTAGGCCTCTTCAGATATTCTACAGCTTCTGTGACAGTTCTGCCAGCAGCTTAACGCAGCTGTCTTGCATCATCTCAGGCATCCCATATGGTACTAAATGCCTGTGTTCAGGCATCCCAACCCTGCTCCAGTTCTGTCCTGGCTTCAGGTATATTACTTTGAGTTTTTATGTTTATAAACTAGTGTCACAGGCAAACAGTATCTGCCAATTTGGAAATGTTCCAAACAGATATCTTTGAATACTGGTTCATTTGGTGTCACTGCAACACATACAAGATTCTTACTTTTTGCAAAACAATCCTTAGGTAGGTGTGTCTTTTTAGGCTGGGAAAACAACTCCAGAAGAACAACTGGATCCACACTGCTGGTTTCAGAATAGCTACTGACATCACACTTCTGAGTGGGAGAAGGGCAAAGAAAAGAATTCATTTGTATTTCATTAATCAGGTTACCAGATTTAAAATAAATGAAACATATCACCATTGCCCCCTGCAAAAAAAATCTGCAGTGCATAAATTATCTTCATGTTGCTGAACTACCAAAATAAAATTACAAATAACAGCACAGAAAAGGCTAATTCCTACTCTTTTTTACCATGGCTTTAATTTAATGTTTCTTGGTTTCTTCTAGTCGTCTACACTTGACTTGCAGGAAGGAAAATGTTTAGAAACGATTGTATTATGCTACAACTTTACTTTAGAGAAAACTCTAATTTCTTCATGCGAATCCAATTCTCTCTTCATTTTCAGAGATACAAACTATGTCTCCAAAGGCTTAAAGATGGGAAGGCCTAGCAGGAAAGAAATGTACGTACGGTCTACACATATCAAAGAATTGTTGTTATTGTTAGGTAACCTACACACCTATAAAACTAAAGACAATAAGGAAAATAAATATAAAGAAAAAGGAATAAAGCAATCTATCAGCCATAAAGTGTAAGTGCCCTGTATGGCATGGAAAGGGAAGGCATGAGGATAGGGATAAGAATGAGAAGGCAGAAGGGAGAATTGCCTCTGTTGACAGACACTAACCTAAGGTCCTAGGGAATCTTTAACATAGACAAAATTGCAATTATTTACATTCATTGGCATTTCATTATTTTTAACATTATATTTTTATATAAATATAATTAAATCATGTATAACAAGCAAAACTTCTGGCAACTTTATCTAAAGCCAGAAAATGCTAAACTGGTTTGACTTTTGGAGGTAGTAATCCAGAAAGTTGCTGAATTTCCATTTAATTTTCCAGGTCACTGGAGGCAAGCCATGATTCTTCAGCTTTTTTAATGTGGAACTGTACTGTATTAGAATAAGCTAATTTTCTGGACCAGAAAAAGCATGGTTGTTTTGGGAACCGTTTCTAGAGAACAAATTTTTTCATCCAAGGATGACAGCAAACAGAATTATCTATAAAAATTAATAGTATGTATCAGATATGTTTAAAGAAAGTGTGTTTCTTGATTAATTTCTGTTTACTTATTTTGTATAAAATAGTACATTAAGTTACAGTGTTGGCCATGGCTGTTTATGAGAGACAAACCTCCACTGTTTAAACTATTATTACCTCTAGAGAGATGTACCATCTTCACAAAGAATGCTTTTGGAAACACCAGCTTGTCCTGTCATTGCTGAATAAGAGAACTGCTGTGACAATTTTCAGCTCTAGCATATTCTACAAGATGACAAATGTTATAATTACCTCTTTTTGCTCTTTCTTTTGATGTGTTTCTGAAAAGCCACTTATAGTTTCAGAAGTCCCAGAAATCTGACTGAAGCCGCTTAAACTCTGGCACTGCTCTCTATGTCTTAATCTGCCTCCCTGCAAGAAATAATGCAAAACAGTGGATTTTCCACATTTTCGTTCCTGGCAGTCATTCTTAAAAGTCAAAATTCTTTAACAGAATCTAAAGCTTCCTCAAAATTTAGCATGTTTGTCTTTTTACAGATAATTGAATTATATCCCTAAAAGGCATGTAAAAGAATGGTTTCTTCCTCGATTTCAAATACTGTGGCCCTGGGTTATACTGAGGAAAAGTATCATTCCTCGAGATCTTCTTTCAGCCCACTGATGGATTCCTTCATCCAATTCACTAAGTTCTGATGAACTGGCTCAGTAGCAAGTGTTGCAGCTGGACCCCAACAGTCGCGTGTTTCTAGTTCCAGGCAGAAGAGCCAAGTGATCCCAAACAGCTCTCAGTCCTTTTGTCAACACAAATTCCAAACAAGACCAGACTCCGCTGCAGCAGGGCAAGAGTTTCTGTCATCAAATACTATGGACAACATATTTTAAATATCCACAGATGATTCTAAGGTGATCAGCAATTTCTGCTTCTTTGAGAACTTGTCCAAAGATATTCAACTGATGATAACTCCTCTTATGACAAAACCACAGAAAACGGATCCTACCAGTCCACCTAGACACTGATCATATGACAATCCATCCAAAAATATCACCTGCTTTTGACATTTCTTCCACAGCAAAATACTAGGTAACTGCACTTTGAGCCCAAATACTTGTTCTGATGGATTTAGAATATAGTGATATCCCAGTCATAACACAACTGACACTCATAAAAGACAATCTTTAACAAGCTAATCTAGGTACAGTATAGTCATCAAAGCCTACTGCTCCACTTGAGCTTGCTGCTCACAAATTTGAATATATATTTTAGATGAGCAAAAATAAGGAAAGAAAATAATCAAGAAGGCAAAATGAGAGAAAACACGAAGCGCAAAAGCGAGCAACATACAAGTAATATGGACATGCAGCAAGGGACACTACTGAATGCAGTGAGGACACAAAGGGTTTTAATTCAGTTGCTTGCCCTAAACTGCTCAGCGTCTTTTAAGATACTCAGGAGTACCTAAGACACACACATGGCATAGTTAAATACAGCACAGGATCTCCAGGAACTGACAGACAACTTTTTGGAGGTGCAATTAGAAGCCGCATGAGACAATCCAGCATCTCAATGGTATTCGACATCTATGAGGTGAGGAGTATGTGGAATCTTGAGATCCAGATATTTAAATGGAGTAATCTAATTGTGGCTGACACCTAGTGTCATCTGAGGTGTTTCTACACACCCCTGACCTCCAGATGCCAAAAAGAATTTCTATAGCTCCTGTGTCTTATTTGTCAGTCCCATGTCGATGTGACGGACACCTGAAGTATCTCAAATATCCCTAAATGTCTATGTACAGGCTAACGAATTGCACCATTACTGACTATCACGGCGGTATAGATGCATCACTCGCATGCAGGAATCTGTATTTAGGTATCTGTATTTAATTGCCTAAGACTTGAACTTAATCCTGCCCAATGCAACAAAATCAAGAGATATGAAGGGGAGTTCAAAGTATCATAGAGGTGAATAAGGGATTAAAAAACATTAAGAATTTTCTTTTTTTTTTTTAAGGTTAAGCTTTTATTTGCATTCCCTTTGGATTCCATGTAACTGAGAAGCAACATGTGAGCAACACAAGAGGCCTGCCTTCCAAAAATGCCAGGTGCCATCAGTAAGGCAAAGGAGACAAAAAGAAAGAATGTCTGTCTTGATCAAACTTCATTTAGCAATTGACAGCAATAATGGAATCAAAACAGACAGAAGCAGAATTATGGCTATCAGTGAGGAGAATGATGAGAAAGTGGATATTCAACATCTCTGACTGAATAACTAAGACTATTTGGTAGCTCTTGTATTTTGAAGCTATTAGAAAAACAAAGAAAGTAAAATGACAGAAATGATAGAAGGGATACGTTTACTGTTGAGTCTTCAAGATGCAAGTTATAATAATTTTTCAAACATTAGTTTTCTTACCTGTTTTCTGTATTCTGTTTCTGTGCATACGCTGTGCTCATCATCACCTTCATCAGTGTAAATCTCTGCTACTGCAATAGGAACACAGGTACTAGGACTAGTTAAAAATTCTTCGTATTTCCTTGTTATTGAGGATCCTTCTTCAGTATTGTAATGCCCAATGTCAAAGCGATTGTTGTCCATGTCCTTTCTGACATCTCTCATGGCATAGTTATTTTCCTCTATGTCTTTGGCAGAAATTTTCACCGAAGTCTTCTTCTTGGCTGTTGTTTTGAGGCTTCGTTTCATCGTTTTGCCACAATGATCCAAAATTCTGCTTTTCACAGACTGCAGGCCCTTGCGAATCTGTGCGATGGCAATCTGACATTTAGTCATTTGTCCAGATTCCTCTTGTCCCATTGAGGAGTCAGTACTGAATGAGCTCAGCAGCAAGGCAATGAATAGGTTGAGCACCTTAAAATAGTTAAAGTAAGTTGGAGACACTACTACTAACAGAAAAGACATTTCAGAAAACCCTCCTTAGATAAAAAAATCCCAATATCACTTTCAGCAACTACTGCAATGAAATTATTTACTATTACATTGGTATAGTAATATAGTATGATATTGCTCCTTCTGGAAGGAAGGGCAAGAGTAAAAGGAAGGAAATGAGGGTTTGGGTATATGAAACATATTTTTACATGCTCTGATGTCCATAATATATGAGGAAGTAGGTATGTTGAAAAACAGCAGGCAAAGACAAATTTTAATAACACCCCCATCAAAAAGGATCTGGTATAGATCAACATACCAAGTAGGTGAAAAAGATTTTGCCTTCTAGTATATATTCATTAGATTTAGTATATGTCACTAGAAACCAGAAAATCTAGGTACTGTAAACATTTGATAACATAAGGATAAGTTGGTAAGCATTAAAAGCACTGAACAGTTTGGTTATTTGATCCTAGCAACACAAAAGATGAAGGCACCAAATTATCAAAAGCACTGCACTTCTATACTCTGGGTAGAAGGAACATTTTTTTGTACTTTGTAAGCAGCTATCTCTTGTATGAGATAAATCATAAAATTTGCCTCGGAACAAAAGATACCAGTGTAACTGAATGCATTCAGTAGGGACTGAAAAATAGCTTGAAACTCACCACCAGGTTTCCTATCACCAGGACTAGCAAGAAAATGGGAAGACATAGCTCTTTTCCAGCCACTTCCATACACTCCCACATGGTTTCAATCCATTCTCCACATAATATTCGGAATATAATCAGGAATGAATGACAAAAATCCTTCATATGCCAGCGTAAATGCTTACTGGATGTTATTTTACATTGATATGTACCATAATAACTGCCTAAAACCTGCATTCCTACTACAGCAAATATAAATACAGTGATGATCAAAACCAGAGTGAGGTTACCCAGGGCACCAACGGAGTTTATAATTATTTTCATAAGAGTATTTAAGGCTGGCCAGGACTTTGCCAATTTGAAGATCCTGAGCTGTAAGTAAAACACAAGAGAACAATGTGAGTGGCAGACACTGCATGGATAGCGCAGGACACATAAAAACCAGACCTTGCATTTATCATGCTGTATTTGCTTCAGTAACACCATCATAATTTTTCCCCCAAAGACAGGTTTTTAATTGCTCCTATCCAAAAGTGCTGTGCTTAAGCTTAGATGGTTAATGTTACTGAGAACAGAGAATTGTCAAAGGAAGCTTTCAAATTGTTTGTGCTAAGTCAGATACAACCATGTGTAAGTCTATTAGCATAATAGCAATAACAATAATAGTAATAATAATCAAGTGGCTTATCAGTACTTGGACGAGGCTTATGAAATGACTGCATTTTAGACTAAATCAAATGTAATGAGACAAAAATTGAAAAAATAATTTTTTCTACCTCTCACTCAACAGACTTAAAATAGGATCTGAAAAGCCAGAAGGGATCTATTCTGTGCATCCTCTTGAGTAAAAAGGATGGTTTTAGTCAAATTAGCAGTCAGCACTGTTAAAATCTCTCAGTCATGAGACACAAGATGAAACAAAATTCAACTGAATTTCTAGGTGCAATGACTCTGAAAAACTACAAAGAATGTTAGAAGTAATTAGCAAATTTGGCATTCTAAATACACAATAAGGACGTAAGCAAAAAAGTAACATTATACATAGACATCTCAGAGCTACTCCTTCTTTTCTGTAAGATGGAGGAAAGCCTCCAGGAGACCTCAAGGACAAGTCTAAGACTTGAGGAAAGCTACGTTATTTCACAAATCTCAATGAAGGAATCTTTGCTATCCTAAAGCTCATGAAAACACACAGATAATATCTTTTCCTAATTGAAGATCCAGGGGCTGGAGCACCTCTGCTATGAAGACAGGCTGAGAGAGTTGGGGCTGTTCAGCCTGGAGAAGAGAAGGCTCCGGGGTGATCTTATAGCAGCTTTCCAGTATTTAAAGGGGGCCTACAGGAAAGCTGGAGAGGGACTTTTGACAAGGGCATGTAGTGATAGGACAAGGGGTAATGGGTTTAAATTGAAAGAGGGGAGATTTCTATTAGATATAAGGAAGAAATTCTTCACTCTGGAACAGGTTGCCCAGAGAAGTTGTGGATGCCCCATCCCTGGAAGTGTTCAAGGCCAGGTTGGATGAGGCTTTGCGCAACCTGGTGTAGTGGAGAGTGTCCCTGCCCATGGCAGGGGGGTTGAAACTAGATGATCTTTGAGGTCCCTTCCAACTCAAACCATTCTATGATTCTATGATTCTATACCTAATAGGGAACCAATGAAATCTCTGCTAGGTCAGGTCTCCAAGGGAGTGCACCGTGCCAGAGGACTTATAGTATCCAATATGCACAGTATAATAAACATATTGAATGTATTCTTTAATATTCATTTAATATTAACTCTAATGAAACACTCTGGCATCCAGAGGGACTTTGACAGGCTTGAGGGGTGGGCCTGTGTGAACCTCATGAAGTTCAACAAGGTCAGATTGGATGAGACGGGTAGGGGGAGGGTGTCCCTGCCCATGGCAGGGGGGTTGGAACTAGATGATCTTTGAGGTCCCTTCCAATCCAAACCAGTCTACTCTTCTATTATTCAGGCTGGCTTACTGTTTACTAACAAAGAGAACTGATTTAACAGATTCATCAGTAAAACAATTTGAGGGCATTTCACTGTCATCTTTTACAAAGCTATACAGATATGTACTTTTAAAAAAGAATAAAGAAATAATTACCAGCCTGAACGATGGCAAATTTTCTTTAAAGCTTATTAGGCCAATCATAACAACTATGCTATCAAAAATATTCCATTTTTGCTGAAAATAGTTGTAAGGATCTAGAGCGATAATTTTGAAGATCATTTCTGCTGTGAAGATCATGGTGAAGACCTGGAAATAGGAAAAAGAAACTCAGCAATGGAAAAGTATATCTCCTTATAGGACTGTCCTATTATAAATATGGGGTTATAACTCCATATCCACTCTAACACAGACCTAACTTACCTTGTCACTTACAGAAGTCATTTGGTTATTGAATGGTATGTCAGAGTACTCCAGAGCCATGAATATGGTATTCACGATAATGCAAACCATGATTAAGAGATCAACAAATGGATCCAAAATTACCAATTTCACTTTCTCTTTGACTGCTCTCCATAACGGACAACAATTCCAAATTAGGTACTTTTGAGCAAAAGGTTTCCATAATGAAGGGCATCTCAGTTTTGACTCTTGCAGTTCTAGATGACAAAGAGGGAAAGTCACATACAAACAACATTATGTGGAACTTCATAGTATGAAGAAAAAAAAAACAGTCATAGAAAAGATTGAAAAAAAAATCAATCTCGTGAGCAGAATGGCATCACTGAAAAAAAACTGTTTCACTCATTCTACACAAACTAATCACAGGCTATTTAAAGGTCACCATCAACAAATTTCATAATTACCGGAACAGGTGATATTACCCACCTCTTCATATGTTTATTAGACTATTGAAGGATGAGAAAGGATCTGCATTAAGGAGAAACAGCTTAACTATCTCCGGGAAAATTGACGACTTGTTTTCTGTGAGTTGCATCTTCACAGTCACAGATGCAGCATGGGTTGAAAAAAAGTCCAGGATAAAATGAAGAAGGGCATCTCCCATATCTGAGTGTCCATAGTTGAGAATAGGGTTATAAGATGAATCAAGTTGGAAGGGACCTCAGGAGATCTTTAGAACAACCACCTTCTCAAAGCAGGGTCAGCCATGAGGTCAGAGACTGCATAACCTGTTTGTCTGTCTGACTGTCCTTGTGATGAAAGCTTCTCCTTATAAACAGTTTCAAGCTCTTTTTCAATTCATGTCTGTTGTCTCATCTTCCCACTGTGCACCAGTGTGAAGAGCCTGTCTCCATCTTCTTGATAATGTCTTCCTACACAGTGGAATGCTGATATTAATTTCCCCTCAAAACCTTCTCTCCAGGCTCACCAGCCCAGCACTCAGCAAGTGGTCCAGTCTCTGACTTGGTGGCCCTCTACCTATGTGGTCTACCAAGTGCTTAATAAAGGGTGATAATCACTTTTCTCCTGGCTATGCTCCTTTTACTATAGTCCAGGATGCTGTTACTCATTGCTGCTGCAAGAGCGTGTGGCTGGCTCATGCTCAGCTCACTGCCCATAAGGAAACACAGGGCCTTTCCTGCAGAGATGCTTCCCAGTCAGCCAGCTCCCAGCCTGTACCGTTGCAAGAGGTTCTTGCAGATCTGTAGAAGTTTACATTTGTTCTCGTTGAAGTTTCCTAGGTTCCTGTTGGCCCATTCCTCCAGCCTAAGTTCCTCTAGATGGGAGTTCTTACCTCCAGTGTATCAAGGAGTTCCCTCTTAATTTGGTGTCATCTGCAAAATTTAAGAGCAAGCCCTCTGTGGCCTCCTCTAGATCACTTAGGACAAGACTTATCCTAGGATACATCCCTGTGGTACTCTACTTGTTACCCGCCTCCGCATAGAATATGACCTGTTCACCAGACACTCGAAGACCAAACATCCAACCATTTTTTTGTCCCATTGGTTGTCCACCCATGGAGACCCTAACACCCTAACTTAAATGAAAAAATACTGTGGGAGACAGTGTTGAAAGCCTTGCTAAAGTCGAGGAAACAAAAACATTGCTCTCTCCTTATCCACAAACCCCAGTCATCTTATTGTACAGGGAAATCCAGTTGGTCAGGCATGATTTACCCTTGGTAATCACAAGTTACAATTGCAGTTACATGAGATACAAGAATATTTATTTTACGGAAATTTACAATTGATTGCAGCATAATTTCCCCTAGTGACTTTTCAAATAACACTGACTGTGACATTTTGATCTCTTAGGTCAAGTTACACAATCACCATAGGAAAAACACTAAAGAATTACTTACTCATATTATCTGTAATAACAGTGGCCGCACTCATTAACCTCTGCCTTCGAAAAGGATCATTAATAGAGTCCACTGACAATTCATAGGACAGCAGTATCTGCCTCTTTGGTTAGAAAGACAGAAGATAACATAACAAGGGAGTATGAACAAGCGGCAATATAAAAATTATGTCCATCGTAAGATAAATATGCCTTTCAAAACACACACTGTAACGAAACCTTGCCTTGCTGAAAGAATGTAAACCAAAACAATACAATATCATGTGTTTGCCTTTGAAGGCAAAGGACATTTCATCAAAATGTAATGTTTTTCAGTAAGTTGTTTCCTTCTGAAAATATTTAACAATAATAACAAAGCCACTATATAAGAAGTATAGAACCATTAACAGGGGACCAAAGAAAAAAAAATCATTCCATCTTTTCAGTGACTGATAAAAAGAACACTGATCATCTGTTTGAATAAATTATTGCCTATTTAACTATGAATTATTTATTATTAATAAATAAGAAATATTTATTTGTATTAAGAATAGTTATTTAGTGAATCAAAACTACCGGTTTTCCCAGCCCTATCAAACCTATTAAGATCTATACTAATATTGACGTGTCTAAAACTAGGAATGCGACTACTTTTGTTTTCCTTAGAAGTTACAAAATGTTAAACTCAGCGCTCCTGATGTGCACTGAAGAACAGACAAGCCCAAAGCAGTATCTTATGGGACACACTGAATGATTGTCAAATATTCAGTTCATGACACATGCAGACACTTGCAAAAAAAAATCTGCAGCACAATTCAGTTGCCTAAATCTAGGAATTTAGAAGCATTTGAGATGCCATAATGTATTTGAGATATCCACACAGTGCTGAAAGATGTGCCACAGGCACCAAAGATATCCAGGATATCTGTCCAAGAATGTCTAAAATGCCACTAGATGCTTATAGTAGGACAACTGAATCACGTCTCTAACATTAGAAGTCTTCATACCAAAACGAATTCAACCCTAAACAGTTAGGCAAGAGAATTAGCTGTGTGTACAAAAACGAAAGGTTAGGTCATTAGGGAAATTCTAAAACTTACAGGATTTTTTATGTTTGTTTATGCAGAACAATAGAGATGACAACAGGTCTTACCACAGCTCAGGTGCAGAGGGCTATAACATGACATAAGTATGCTACTGGTGGCCACTTTGAACTTTCCTTTCAAGTCAATACAGTGCTGTCTCCCTCTGGTCCCAAAATCTAACTTTCAGACTGCTTTAAAAAATAAGCTAATCCAATGCATGCAAGAAGGAAAACAAACAAACAAACAAACAAACAAAAAGAAGTAAAAAAATTGCAAATAAAGAAAGCTTTTCTGCTTATCAAATTGTCATATCACACACAAGTCTAATGAATATATCTTCTCTTTCAAATACTTACAAGCTTCTTGTGGCAGCGATCAGGCTGTGAATGAAATATTTGCTCCTCTTTGCCATGATCACTTAAAATTAAGCTTTGTCTTAAAATAGGTTCTTCTTTCTTCATCTCTTTTTCTTTTGAATTGTTCAAATCAGCATCTGACATTTCAGAGATGACATGTAAAGCCTTATTACCCTCTCCAGCAGCCAACATCTGTATAAGAAACAGCAAAAAGTCGATCTGTCAATACAAAGCAAATGGACTAGGATCATACACAGTTTAATTATTATGGTATCTGAATGCTTTGCACTGACAATTCTTACCTTTCAAATATTAAATTACTATAAAAAGATAGGAGTACAAAATACCATTCACAATACTGAAAGGAAAAGGGGATTATTTATCAGCTACTATAATTAAAGTTCATCCTTGCCACCTGGGATACTCTATTTTGTATCTGAATTACAGAATATTAAGGTGCATCCTTTTACTCTCCTTTTCTTGCTTTGGAAAGGACCTTGAGCACAAAGACAACAGAAGACTAAGGGCTCAAAATAAATCCTAAGATGTTAAACTTTTCCTAACTACTAAGCCTGTTGAAAGAAAAACAGAAGGAAGAAAAGCCTAAGTAAAGCTTGGCAAGCTGGAATTTTAGACAGAGAAACATTAAAGGCCTGTTGACAGCTGTAGAGGAGCAATTTGGCAAACCAGTGATGGCTTCCATTCAGCGATGAAATTGGATAGTTGCTTGAGAATATTTGTTTGCCGTCTTACAAGTCTGACTTTTCTGACTGTTAGCAGCAAAAAGTTAGAAGATAAAATATGTCTTACAGTAATTTTCAATCTATCTTGTTGCCTCAGCTAAGAGCTTCATTTCTCAGAAATAAAATAAAACCAAGGTGTTCCCTTGCCCTACAGGCCAAGGAATGAATGAATGCAGGCAATACCGTGCCAAAAGGAAACTGTGTAGAAGCTCAATGTGTGTCTATTAGCTCTTCAAACCAACAGCAAAGGAACTAACGCAGTCTCTGGACAACCTTCTACATTGATATGGAACTAATGGCCTTAGCCTGACCAAAGACTATTCCTGCTCTTGCCAACTGGTAGACCTTCTGCATGCAATCACTCAAAAAGAGGCATGACACCCCTTACATAAGTGAGCACAGTGGCTCTCAGAAAGCTTGTATTTTTAACCAATCCTGACATCTGTCAGCATCAGAACTTCCAATCTCAAGGAACTGTAGAAATGACAATTTTTCTAATGGATGAAAATTATCCACTCATTCCTCCTTCTTCAGACTACACAGAAATAGCAAGAAGAAATATCCAGAGAAAGGAATTTTTGTACACAGCAATAGTGGTAGTGTATAGGAATGTGGCAAACTACAAAGTGCAGGCATCTATGCAGTGCCCCAATAGCTATATACTTGCCAGTAAGCCATTTGTATGCAATGTGAGGTCTGCAAATCCTAAAGCTTGACATGATTTAAGTTGGACTCATGCTGTTTGCTTGTATCACAGAAATGTTTATACATACATTTAAATATATATATATAGACACACATATGTATTTATAAAAAGACAGAAAGAAAGAGAAATGAAGTGTGAAAAAGTACTGTAAGAAGCACGTTTGATAAAAAATTTCCGCAATTCACAAACAGAAGAGGGAAAAAAAAAAGAACCGTATATTATATATCACATATCATATACTATATATTATACATTATATACTATATATTACACATTATGCAGTATAGAGTGTACAGAGTATATAGTTATAGTATACAGTATATAGTATATGGTATATAGTGTATATTGTATTATATTATAATTATACATTACATTATAAATTACATATTATGTTATTATATATAACCATTTACAAACCTGTTCTTTCTCTAGAACTTGTTTGGCATCCTGAAGTAATTTTTCCTTTGCCTCTGTTTCAGCAAGAGTGGCTCTGTTTTGCTCGTCATATGCCATAGTTACCACAGCCAAGATCAGATTGAAGAGATAAAATGAGCATAAAAAGATGACTGCCAGAAAAAACAAAATGCTGCTCATTCCAGATGTACGGATAGTCTGTGTGGAAAAGATAAAGGTTGTAATAAATCCTTAATAAACTAACATTTACAATAGAACTTCCAACTAACTTTAAACAATTTATTTTCCTATACAATACAAAAGGTGAACATATTGTACTGTTTTCTTTAAACAACAGTAGGATCTACCTCTGGTCTAAGTTATATAGAAGGTTTAGAAATACATCTAGTCAGGAGTTCCCCTGGTCTACAAGTAAGTAAATTTCAGCTCTTAAAAACTTCTCTGTGATCATAAAATGTTTTCTCTTTATGTTACAGACCATGAAACATACATAATGATGTCATGTACTGAAGAAAAGAATTAACGAAATCCATTCTTAAAATTAAATTAAATATCTCCCAGCAAATCAGGCAAATGATCAGCAGAGTTTAAGCTAAAAGAAAACAACTTCAACTGTAAAGAAATACACTGTTGACTACAGAAGAAACTAATAAAACTCTGTAATAAGGACAAAAGCTAGGATTATCTAAACAATCATGAAGGATGCTATAATTAGTAAATCAGAGGCAACATTTAGATTGTTTATTCTTACATTTTTTAAATAGCAGCAGAGGACGTCTCAAAATTTAGCTCTGAGACATTCAAAACTAAAACCCACATGACCTCCAAATGCCAAAACCAGGATGTATCCATCCATTTAAAAAAAAAAAATCTCAATCTCGGTTAAAAAAGTGAAAGTGGACCATACGAAAGTTATAGAACAAGGCAGAGGATAAATCCCAGCAGCAAAGTCACTGCATAGTTGTAAGGGATCCAGAGAGTTCTCTATATGCCATTTTTGTATCATTTTTGTCAAAAGACAATCCAAAAGTTATATCTAACTCTTGGAATCAAAAAATAAAGGCTCCAATTTTTTCAGTACCAGTTGTCAAAAATTATGTGAAATACAAGTGTGTATGTATTGGGTTGGTGAGGAGTCAGGAGTTAAAGGAAAAGAAACAGATTATGTTCCAAGTCTGCAGAAGCAGTGAGCTCACTAGCCAGATCTACTACACACCCCAGTCCTACTGTAGTTAAATATTAATATTTAACTATTAATCACTGACACCAGTGTGTTCCCCAGCAAAACTGTGAGCATTCAGAGCAGGATTACTCTCATACAATGTCACTTTCAGAAGGTGTCACGACTTAGTCACTTGAAGATACTCCCTTAATATTTACATTGATTTTAAAGAAATTTGGTATCAGTAATGTTAAAACAGATGCAGATTTTTCTAGTGGACACAAAGCTCTAAACTGCATGTCTGAAGTCATTCTAGCAGGTAACAAAAGTACCTACTTGTCTGTAGAGACGCTCCCAGGAATCCTGTGTCATCAGACGGAATAAAGAAAGGAAGGCCCAGCCAAAATTATCAAAACTCGTATAACCAAAGTCAGGATTCCTCCCAACCTTCTTGCAGCTATAGTTCTCTGGGCACTCTGTCCTAACCACACAAGAAATGTTAAACAATAATTACTTGCAGTATTAGATTGTACCTGAAAGCATCCAGCATACAACATCAAATATAGATTTGTTCAGTTTATCTGAAAGTCTGTTTCATTATTCCCCAACACAATTCTGCCAGAAGGGCTGATTTATATCAGATAATCCTAGAAAGCCATTTGTCTAGTCAAAGAAACTAGACAGAAACTCCAGTTCTGTCTAATATCTGACTAGACAGAAACTCTCCTCTGATACAGGATACAAGCACACAAATATATATAGAGGGGGAAAAAAATGGAAATATATTTGCTTTTAAATAAGTCACCAAGATGAGGAGAGGAGAGTTTATTAATATCTCACAATTCTTTACTGATCTGTTCCCCTCCTCCTTTATATCATTCTATATTACCATTTTACTACCAGTGGCTAGCAAAAAAGCATATATATAATTACATGCATCCTAGTACTTTACTTCATTCTTTTTCTGATGTGAAATATCTGGGTTTTAATTTAATAACACACACACACATTCCACCCTCCTGAAAAATCATCACCATTCCTTTAGGACAAGAATAAACCCACAGTACATCTGGTGGAAAAAATAAGAAAGTACTAAAATTGCTTTGTTCACTTACTGAGGATTTGAACTGAACCCACAGAGCAATATGTCAGAAGATTTATTCATTCTGTAGCAGATATCTAATAAAAAAAAAATCAAGGAATCATAAAATCAGAAGTTGTCAGTTCCTACAGCACTCTGACAGTAAACCATATATTATTGCACTTTAAAAAACAGCCTATTAGATCAAATCTCTGTGAAAGACTCCTTTCACAACAAAGGGCATATAGGGCTGTTTCTCAGAAGATCTGTCTCTATGGTATCTTTTTTTAAAAAAAATATTAACTGCATAACTAACAATGTAAGATTTTATTTGATCTCCAGTAAAACAAAAAAAAAAGAATCTCTGTGAGAAGTAGGCAAAATCCCTGAACAATATAGGTGAAGTGATGGAAATAATTCTCTGTGCAGTATCCCTAAAATTAAGATCCCCATGTGATGTGCATAGCTAAAGAAGCAAATGATTCTAGAAAAATCCGTCCCTTCTATCCCACAGACTGCTAATCTTTCTCAAAATCCCACATTCAATAACCTCACATTCAGTTGTCTCAGAGACTTTGTATTACTACTTCTACAAATGGAAGGACATACCTTCTTGTGAGAAATACCTGCAACTATATTTTAGCATCTCTATAAAAACCCAAGACATACATAGGAAGATACACAGACTATGTAAAGGGAAAAAAGAATAAAATTTACCTTGAGCATTTGCAACATATATCTTGGCATCCTTACATAACGTGTCGTTGTACGTAACGTTACTGAGGACACATTTGTATTTCAAATGGCCCATAAAAAGCTGGAGGCCTATTAGAGCAAATATACTCAAGCAAAAAACAGTCAAGATCAACACATCAGAAAGTTTCTTCACAGATTCAATAAGTGAATTTACGATGACTTTCAGACCTAGAAAAACAAGATTCGATAATAGGCAAAATGAGAAGAGGAATGCAGCAGCGTTCCCATACGACGATATACAACAGTTGCAACCATGTTAAATACAATTAGTGCAAATGGTTTTGTAACTTCAGAGTATTAAATTCAGAGTATTAAAACAAAGCACAGGAATGAGTAAAGTATTTTTACTTAAATTTCTAACCATAACTTATTTGGCTTTTACTTCCTTCTAACACTAATTTTGCTAACTCAAAAATTCTAAATTAAGATGGCATCTAAGCAAACTCTCAGGAGATTTAACGAATATGAATAGATTTCTGTGCTTGATTAACATTGAGTACTTCACATTGTGCCAAACACTGTACAATAAAGGACAGTTTCTGCTGACCTCAGGGAATTCTGTCTTAGAAGATAATGCCTTACAGATGTCACCAGTTGAAAAGAAAAAGAACTTTTATGACACTGGGAAGGGAACAAATATATGTTGGGGACCACCAAGCTGGAAAGCAGTTTGGTGGAAAAGGACCTGGGGGTCCTGGTGGACTTCAAGTTGAACATGAGCCAGCAATGCGTCCTTCTTACAAATGAGGTGAATGGTCTCCTGGGCTGCATTAGGCAAAGGATTGCCAGCAGGTCAAGGGAGGTGATCATTCCCCTCTACTCAGCACTGGTGAGGCCACACCTGGAACACTGGGTCCAGTTCTGGCCTTCCCAGTACAAGAGAGACATGGACATACCAAAAAGAGTTCATCAGAAAAGGGTCCAGCCAAGGACTGGAGCACCTCTCCCATGAGGAGAGGCTGAATGAGCTGGGAGTGTTCATCCTGGAGAGGGCTCAGGGAGGATCCATCAATGTATATAAATATCTGAAGGTAGGGTGTGAAGAGGATGGAGCCAGGCTCTTTTCAGTGATGCCCAGTGACAGCACCAGAGGCCATGGACACAAACTGAAACACAGGTAGTTCCCTCTAAACATCAGGAAACACTTTCCTACTGTGAGAGCGACCGAGCACTGGCACAGGTTGCTCAGGGAGGTTTTAGAGTCTCCATCTTTGGAGATACTCAAAAGCTGTCTAGGCACAGTCCTGGGCAACCAGGTCTAGGTAAGCCCTGCTTGACAGCAGAGGGGTTGAACCAGATGACCTCCAGAGGTCCCTTTCAACTTTAACCATTCTGGGATTCTGTGAAAAGGGGTTATATATAAAGTGAAAATCAATATTCTGGCACAACAACTGGATTTGAAATATGACATGGGCAGAGAGTGATATCCAGAATTTTTCTAGAAATCTTTCATAAGAAAAAAATAAAGTTACACTTAATCTCTGTTCTCCATGGTGAATATGAAAGGAAAAGTATTGACAGGTGGTTTTGACATAAAAATGAAACACATCCTATGTTTAATTCCTGCTATAGTTCCATAGCAAAACCAAAAATATATTTATAATTACATACAAATGGCAAAGTTAATATATATTATGACAATGGGATATACAGTCACTTACAGGTTTTCAAACAAGTTTTTGCAGTTAGATTCTGAAATTCATACTTTGGCATCCTAATTAGTGGAACAACTCACAAAAATATCAAATATCTGGATGGCATATGCAAAATACTTTTAATAAAAGTATTAAGCTCAATCCAGATAGTGGCTGCAGTCAGTAAGCAAACAAAACAAAACTCTGAAATATTGTGAAGGCAGCATTCTGGGAGATAAACCATAGAAGATTAAGCTAAGGAAGTATAACGTGAAACCAGAAATATCAGGGTATAGCCATCATTATGGATAGGGTATAGCTATCATATTGGATAGGGTGTGCTGCTCAGGAAAGACAAAAGTAAAAAGACAAAGGCACTGGGCTAATTAAAATTGAACATTAGTGATGGGATAGAAAAAGCAGAAAATAAAAAAAAAAATTGCTTCCATCAAAATCATTTTGAGGAAAGATGATAAAAAATACTCTGTTAGGATGCTGCTGAGACTTACTACAGACTGCGAAACAGTCACACCTTGGGATCCCATTAACCATCACAAAAAGTGACCAGAGAACCGAAGACAAGAACAGGAGAGGAATTAGAAATAGCATACTGCTGAAGTGGAAAGAAAATTCCTAAAATGTGCTGTTCCTTACCTGGTATGACTGAAATGGCTTTCAAAGTCCTCAGTACCCGGAAAGTTCGAAGAGCTGAAATCTTGGCTGTACTTTTGCACATAGTAATGTACCTGTAAAGGCAAACCACCACGTAACTGAATGATAAAGATCCAGCTTTTCAGAACATATGCATATTGAGGAAAGCTAGAGAGGGGCTTTTTACAAGGGCGTGGAGTAATAGGACAAGGGGCAATGGACTTAAGCTGAAAGAGGGAAGATTTTGATTAGATATAAGGAAGAAGTTCTTCACTCTGAGGGTGGTGAGGCACTGGAACAGGTTGCCCAGAGAAGCTGTGGTTGCCCCCTCCCTGGAAGTGTTCAAGGCCAGGTTGGATGAGGCTTTGAGCAACCTGGTGTAGTGGAGGGTGTCCCTGCCCATGGCAGGGGGGTTGGAACTAGATGATCTTTGAGGTCCCTTCCAACCTAAATCATTCTGTGATTCTATGATTCTATGAGCACATAGTAAGGAATAAGTTACAGAAAATAAATAGGTCGGATATGTCCTAAACTAGATGTCTAAAGTTAGGAATCTAAGTCCATTTCTAGGTATTGATATAAAGTAATGAGACTTTTGAATAGTGCCTCTGAAAAGAAACACAGTAAGTTTTTACTTAGTGTGGATTTGGATGCTTAACTTTCAAAGTGGTTATCCATCAAAATGTCAAATAAATACAGAACCTTCAATGTCATAACCACACCCTCTCCAATTGAGGCTAATCTGATTTAGACTACGTGAAAGTATATGTTGCAGCTATCTCAAAACTATACAATACATACTATAGGAGAAGGGAGTTGAGCAAAACTAGGTTTACAATATGTTAATTCTGTACCATATGGCTGTCTTTCTAACTTTTATTCAACAACAAAGAAACTGAGTATTGAAACTAGTTTCGATTTAAGAATTTCAACAATTTGAAAATTTCAGAAAATGAGGATTGTAAGAGTTGCATATTTTATACAGCACTTTAACAGGTTACCTCATATTTTATAAGACTTCTTTCCTGTCAAAATGGAGATGAATTGTGATTCATCTGCTATTTATCACCATGTCATTCAACACCTTGTGACCCACTTTGGATCCTTCTCAAATACGTGTCATCTGATCCAGAGTACAACTAAGACAATATAAAGAGGCATGCTTGGTTTTGGCTGCCTATGCAATCACTTCTTGACAAAATTTAAATACACACTAAATTGAGAACAATCGAGCAGTTCTAAGATGAGTTTGCACTTAGGTATTGTTTTAAGGTCTATGATGATTCTTCTTGCAGATATGCAAAGGGTGATTCAACCACAGTAACTCTTAAGCAGGTAGGATGCCAACCACTCTAAAGAACTTCAGCAATATCAAACAGTATTTTATCTGCATGTTTATCCCTTGAGCGTAAAAGAACAACTGAGTTTTACTTACGTTATGACAATAACGACAAGATCCAAGCAGTTCCATGGATCTCGAAGAAAGGTAAATTCATTCCAAACCAACCCTCTTGCTACTACTTTTATCAATATTTCACCAGTATATACAGCAGTAAAAAAATATCTGAGAAGGAAAGTGTATATTAAAGTTACAGAAATCAAAATATTAATGAGACTGAGACACATTCAGGTGCATTTCTACCTTTTCTATGATTTGATCACTGGATAGAGATGAAGGTAGAAAACATGAAGTAAAATAGGACAGGTTCCATTACTTTCAGAAACATCATGGATATAAGAATTTGCCTTCCTCAATTTTAGTAAGATATCCATGTAAATCTATAATCACAAATGTTCACATAAGCATGCCACACTATTTCTGAATGAAGGATAGTTCACATTTCCTTATGAAAAATTTTTAAGACTGTGTTTATGTTCTAAAGCAGGCTGGAAAATTTCAACATTTTGGCAGAAAAATAACAGCAAAGACTTATTTTAGTCTGTAAAGTTTGCACATTTTATACATTTAATCTGACAAATACTCTATAACTGAAAGAAATCCTACATAAAATTAAGCTATCATTATCACCACACTTATCTCAAAATAAGAGGAATTAAAATTATAGAACCTCTGAGGCCCCAGGCACATTTTCAAGATTTAATTCCATAACATTAAGTCAGGCTACACTGGGTACAGTGCACAATTACAAAAGGTACCAAGACATTATTAACGGGTGGCTTTCTAATGTGAACAACTGAACTAGGGGTGTCCCTAGGAAACAGCAAGAAAGAATGGAATGAATATTTATCCCTTTATACTTTTTGCATGAGCTGGCCATAACAGACATTCAGGTTATTGCCTTAGAATGAGAGATATTAAGTTAGAATCCTGCTGCACAGTCTCTCTAAAACGCTAAATCTTCAGAAGGAAAAATGGGGCAATCTTTTATGTTACACCAGATGGCAAAATTAGCCAACGTAGAGAAAAAGGCATATGGTGTAATTCTCTAAGAGAAGGCACTGAAGTTCCACAGAAGACTGTAATATAACAATAATAATCCTAAATCTTCCTCAGAGGTCTGTCTGGGAATTTTCAAGCCCCAGAAGTAGATCATCACATTTTTTAAATTTTTCAGTCCAGCATGTTAACATCCTTAGAAAAAGAGTGAAAAAATGGCAATTGAGATACTTACTCAGTCCAGTTGAGTTCATCTGGAAGTTTACTTACAGCCATGGTAGCACAATTGAGTACCACAGTACACGTAATAAAGCCAACAAATAATGTGAATAATAAGTTAAGGAAAAAGTGCTATATTATAAAACAGTGACATTCAGAAAAGTTGCTGATTTACACAGAAAAATACAGCTATTTGAATAATTACTTTGATTTTTAATATGCTCAGGACTTTTCATGTGTTTTCCAATGAAACTGATGTCAGATCAAAATTCTGCTCAGCTGGGTGAACTTCATGATTTAAATATAACAATGAATTATCTGCATGTGGAGATAGTTTTGGAAGTTAGGACATTAGTGGGACATAGTATGCTTGACAGAAGAGATGAGGAACATAAATAAATGAAAAAAAATCAGAGTCCTCTGCTGTCTACTGTTATTTGAAACTTTAGAAACCTCCATTTCTTCCCAGTAGGAGCATGGAATAAAGAGAAATGGGCCACAACCTCATAACAAGGGGTTTTCAGCCTAAGAAAATCAGATGAAAAAGCTTAATTATCAATAAACAGTGTTCTTTGAAACTGAGAGTTCATATATACATTCTTACAAGAGACACCTACTTGTCACCTGATAAAAGTGGATGGTTTCATTTGAAAGTGGAGGGTTTATTTGAAGCTGAACAGCAAATTTAGTAATTTCTAATAGCATGAATACACATTCAAAGTCAGCTATAAGTTCCCACAAATGGACTTAATTCTAAAAATGAATAATTCCAAATGAAAACAGATGTTTGGCAGAAAGAGCAGAAACTACTCAGCCTACAGTTTTGCACCTGCATTCCTCCACGTTTTTACATTCTTCAAACTAAATTTATATTTTTGCAAAAGTATAAAAAATAAGTGCTCTTTAGAACTTTTCTAAACTTGTGTGTGAAATACATTTCTTAGGATAACATCAGAGTCCTTCAGCAAAGCATTGCTGTAAATAACATCCTTCACGTTTTAATAATTAAGGAGCTTTTTTAAAAAAAAAAAAAAAAGTTTTTTTTTTAAACTTAAGCTTGTCACCACGGTAGAGATTTAGAAAAAGTTCTGGAAAAGCGTTAAAATATCATACGGTCATCTCTAAATTTTGTTTTGTAATAATATCTGCAAATCTGACTTTAAATATGAGCTTTTTGACATTTTTACTTGTACCAACACCAGTATATCTCAGCTGTTGTAAATCAAGAGTCAATATCACTTTTTAAAAATCTCTATCACAGTCATGCGCTTACATTTACTTTAATATGATCAGAAGAACAGAACGACAGAAAATGGTACAGTATACCTTAAAACTGAAATTAGGGAAACCAATAAAAGGATATATATGGATCAGAATTTTAATTGCTACTCTTCTGACTGGATTAAAAGGACCAAATATACACAAGGCAGGTGTGGCAGTAAACCGGAAAATAGTCCTCCTTTTATTTATCACCATAAAAGTCTATTAAAAAAAATAAATCATAGTATATGAAATATTGTAATGAAACAAAATTTTCCCCCAAAATTAAATGCCTGGGTTTTCAAATCTGCATCTAGGACTACATCTAACTGCAGTTATGAGTAAAGCTTTCCTGTATTTTTACTTGGAGCTGTGAGCTGATGATACTACATTTTGATAGACACCAGCTATATAAAAGTTCATTATTGCCTCTGAAGAAGAAGTAGGAACGGGAATGAATTTGAAGAGCAACTGGTCATATTCACTTGGTCAAAGTAATTAAAGGATACTTTTCTGGGACTGCAACAATGGTGTTAATCATACTCAACAGTACCTTACTCTTGGATAGTTTTGTAGGCTACAAAAGATTATTTACAAAATACATATTGTGTAGAACTGTCAAAATCCAGTCCAGTGAAAGCAAAAATTTTACTTTTGAAACATCTCTAAATTACCAAGTAACACTGTGAATTCCCTCTAAGCTACCTTAAGATCCATGCAGCTCAGTACTTTCAACATGACGTAAAAATGAAATTTCTTAAATCAAAAACACAGTTCAGTAACTTTTATCTAAATTTCATCAACTGAATCACCCTTAGTTTCTCTTCATCAAGAATATCACTTTGATTACTTTGAGAAAAAAAATCCCTAGAAGAACAAAGCTTTCTGCATGTTTCTGATTAAATTTTTATACTCCAGTGACTTGCTGGTATTCATAGAAGACAGCAACATAGGACTGGATGGAACCTCCTGCTCTTCAGGTCAAGTCCTCCTCAATAGTAAGCAATCATACAATAGACATTTTGTTTAGAAGGGATTCCTAGAGCATCTACTTTACACGCTCTTATAGGCAACAACACAAAACACTTTTCAACAGCATGGAGCATATGCAATACAAATACGGTACAATAAACAAAGCTGATGAGATATAATAATAGAAAAAATAATTTATTATAATGAAAATACATGTTTTTGCTACACAGAGTGCTGGAAATATCTCAAATATATCTCCCTGAACTTGTATAATATTTGTAATTCAGCAAGAAACATCTGCAGTAAGTCAGCAATTCCAGCACTGTTTGACAGGCACTGCTTATGACAGAGTTCAGCCCCATAGACATCATGGAAACTGCTCTGGAAAACAAAGCATCAGTTATCCCAGAATATATATCCTATCAAAGTTTATCTCTCGAGTGTATCATGTTTTCATAATCAATTCTGATTGCTGACTGGAACTTGAAATACCTTTTCTTTACATAATGTGGGGCATACCTTAGAACTCCTGCCCCAAAAAGCACTAGTAACATTCAAAGTTCTGTCTACAGAACAATCAAAAACCAGCATCTCCTGAATAGAGCTTTTACTATCTCTTAAGAGCTCAGCAGACAAAATTAAATAAATAAAAAAAAATGCTTTTGAAAGTTTTAACCTTGTGATCACTGTAGTATGGATCAAAATCTTCCAGGGGTTCCCCAATGAGCTCCACAGGAATATCCCCATACAGAGATGGCAGTTTTTTGCAGGTTTTCAGATCAAGCTGAGGAGTAAGTTTATTTTCCTCAACTCCTTGGTCCTTATTCTCCCGGTTAACTTTTCCTTGCTGCTTTTTTTTCTTAGCAATTCTTTCCTCGATTGCTGCCAAAGACTCATGTGTGAAACGTCGAAAGCTGTTAGTATCTGATGGCCAAAACCAGGGATCCATTTTCCCTTCTATGTGTTTGTTTCCAGTGCTAGAAGTAACTTAAAAGAGAAAATTATTGACAATTAGACAATAACAGAAATGCTACACAACTTAAAACCCACTAGATAGATTATTTCTTCCCTCTGTGAAACCCCATACGAAAGTGGAACAGCACAGCATAGCACAGTATAGAATAGAATAGAATAGACTCTGCCAGTTAGAAGGGACCAACAACCATCACCTAGTCCAACTGCCTGACCAATTCAGGACTGACCAAAGGTTAAAGCATGTTCCTAAGATCATTGTCCAAATGCTTCTTAAACACTGACAGGCTTGGGGCATCAACCACCTCTCCAGGAAGCCCAGTCCAGTCTTTGACCACACCCTGGATAAAGAATCATAGAAATTGAATCACAGAAGATCATAGAAATCAAAGAATCACAGAAATGCTTCCTAATGTCAAGTCTAAAACTCCCCTGGTGCCGCTTTGAACTATTCGCACACATGCTGACACTGGATACCAGGGAGAAGAGCTCAGCACCTCCCTCTCTACGTGGCCTCCTCAGGAACTGTAGAGAGCAATGAGGTCGCCCTTCAGCTGCCTTTTCACCAAACTAGACAAGCCCAACGTCCTCACCAGCTCCTCATAGGACATTCCTTCCAGCCCTGTCACCAACTTCATTGCCCTCCTCTGGATGCATGAAAGGACCTTCACATCCTTCTTAAATTGTGGGGCCCAGAACTGCACGCAGTGCTCAAGGTGAGGCTGCACCAACACCAAATGCAGCAGGATAATCCCCTTTTGACTGAAAAAAGATCTTTGACTGACAAAGATCATTGATTGATTCTGGATCCACTCTGTATAATTCAGGTTGCAGAAGAGATACTTCCTAGCCTTTCCAGCTAGGAAGTGACAAAATCACATCTCTGTCAGAACTCCGACAATCACCTAATCATTTCTTTCTGTAGCCGCCTATAGTATCAGCAGCCTTGCACCGTAGTTACTGAACCTCTGTACTTCCGGAAGCTAAGATGCGACTGAAAAAATCCTTGTGATCCAGATGACTAAAAAATTTTGAAAAGACAGAATGACTATTCAAAATTCCAGACGCTCAGCTAAACTCAGCCACCTCATCATATGCTGCTGAACTAGCTAAATTTTTAAGTCAAGACACTAAGGTAAACTGTTACACTTAGAAATAATTTCAGTCTTTGCAACGGATAGAAAAGTCTTCCTAGTAAAAGATTCTGGTAGGGAAGCTACACAACAAGTCTTCTCAGAAGTAAGCTGAAGTACTACTGAATGGGATTTCTTCTAGAACCTGGGAGAACAATCTTGGATGTGTAAATACAAGTTAGTGTGGGGAAATCCTAATAATACGCTACCTAAAGCACACTGCTGAAGACAAATACAAGGCTAGAGCCCAGATCTGTTAATTTCCAATAGAGGATATGTAAGAAATTTCCATTTAAATTAAATTAAGAGGTGCAAATCCTATGACAGGTTTTGATATCTCTGGTCCTATAGTAGAGAGTGGTACATCAGTAACAGATAAAAAGGCACTGGTGGGACCTTCAGTTACTAAAGGACCACTCTCTATAGGATCAGGGATCCAAAAATATGACTTCAAATTCACCCTTTTTTTTAAGTAAAATGGAAATTATTTATTTTTCTCATCTTGAGATGAACTGAATTCAGTGCATCTAGCTAGCCACGGTTTTAGGTTAGTCTAACTGGCTTAACGCTGACTTTGAGAACGGTGGGAACGACACAGAATCTTTTTATGTCAACCCCTAAGAAATTCCAGATATGCTGACAAAATTTACTGAACAAATGATCCGCAAATTTTTAGAAAGAGATGAACAACAAGTCATGAAATTAAATGGACGCACAGCACTACTATAGTACAATTATCCATAAAAATTTCTTAAGAGAAAAGCTATCCTTTAGGACAATTTTTTCTAGAATAGCAAAGTACTGCCAAAAATGAGTCTATTAATACAATGTTTGACAAATTACAAAACACTCACCAGGGTAATGACTAATCACTAGAGATGATAACTAACAGATTCAGACTTTTAGAATGAAAAACAAAATACAAATTCAAGCCGAATACGCAACTCCTTAATTTGGTTCCGTTCATGTGAATTTCAGAACTCCATTCATCTCCCTAAAAGCAAGTAGATTTCCTTTTATACCCAGCAAGCTAACTGCAATAAAACTATTAACCATAAGATATTCAACAATTCATAAAAGAGGAATTTAAACGAATAGAACTGCTCAGAAAAACACTGATCAAAGTCAGGAAGGGGCATTTTTTGAGGAGGAGTTTCCCAAGTATAAAATAGGAAAACTAGTAGGAACATAAATAGAAAAATCTCCTTTTTTTGTGTTTCAATCTAGTTCTAGCATGTATATTAACCAACTCTGAGGCTCACATTATTACTGTCCTCTCCCTTGTCAACAGCCATCCACTGAATATTTCCTGTGTGCACCTGATCTGAAAAAAATAAAGAATAAAGCATCTGTTTAGTTTGGGTTTAGTATATATTTAGTAGATTCTTTCACATGAGAATAAAGAATAAAAATGTGTCCCTGCAGTAGGATTTTGTTTGAAAGCATAAAATCAAATAACTATATGCTTACCATAGGTCAAGAAGTATCTTAAAATGAATGAAATAAAAAAATAATAAAACATGTAGCTATACTTACCACGAGATTCACCACGACAGGACTGGAATTATTAAAATCTATGCTCTAGTCAGAGCCCTGTTTCTTTTTCAGCACTTATCCACAGCATTTCCAAAAAGCCTGTTTTGACCAATCTGTGTATTTGTCAAAAGCCATTTTAAGGGAGCATTTACAAAACCATATTTTAATAAATCTTGTAGATAGTTCAGACAATGACAATAACAAAACACTCAGAACCAGATATTTCCAAGTAGTTCATGAAGGATTACTTAACCACACATAAGTGCATACATCACATACAATTCTGGTTCATGGAACAAGATGGCCTTTTCAGCGGTATCAACAAAATCAGTAGCCTTGTTAGTACCCTAAAAATACACAAATTTATATTAACACATAGGCTAGATGTACAGAAACACAAAGATGTTATGGTTGGATATAGCCTGTAGTCAAAGACATCTTTGTTGAGGTCCCGCATGTGAACAAGGCATCCTAACTTGATTAGTCAGTGGATATCTAGTGGCACGCATAGTCAGAGAAGGCTGTAGAGATATTCAAATGATCAAAGGGACACAGCTACTTTAAAATCGTCTAAAATTCCAGTGACAACATTAACCAAATCTCCACTGACTGTAATGGGAGATTAAACACCTAGATCACAGCCAGCCAGCTGCACTCAGACACCTAAATATAGGTATCAATCTTGCACTGAATCATTCCATAGCTGCCAAAATTTTCCTCACTGTTAAACAGGGATGTCTAACACTCCGGAGTCACCTTTCTATATGACCCACAAGACCAGAACCAGATGTCAGTAAAACCAATGGTCTGCAGTAGCTATTTCAGATTTCAAAGTTTACATTCCATCAGTTCATCATATACAACAGGAAACGCTGATCTGAAAATTTTAAATATTGTAAGCATCTCCAAGTTCATCATCACCATGGATGCACTAGACATGTATAGCATCATGAATGCCCATTATTAAAAATACTAACTTATATTCCACAAAAAAGGTGATTAAAAAAGGAATCAAAACACTATTTTATATGTAGCTCAAATATTTTTCTAATAGATGAACTACTGTTCATCTGTAATAAGAAAAAACGAGAAAGCAGCTCACAGCGACACCTTACAAAATAGGCTAGGAATCCTCTCTTTTCTGTGTTGTATAATACTTTGCAAAAAGCTACTGCTATTACTTACTCAGTTTCAATAAAGAGAAAATAATTCTGCTCTCTGATCACCACTTTCTTCTATTTCACTACCAATAATTATCCACAGATTTAACAGATTTTAGTCCTTTGTAAAATCAAACTTGGACATTTTATTGGACTACTGCTATTTCTAAAATACATGGTCATTTCTTCCACCTAGCACTTTGTCTTTTCCACTCTTCACTTCTCAATCCCACTCCCTGCCCCAACAAAAACTTTGGATAAATATCTAACAGTGGTGGTGTTTTTTTAAAAACGGATGTAATATAAAAAGTTATTCACAATATCAATATCAACATAATATAATAAAATCTTTTCATTCATTGCCTCTGAAATCAGAAATGTATGCAACAGGCTACACTGTGCATTACTTAAATATCCTGAAAAAACTCACTCACTAGCATTTTTGTGAGAAAAACACTCCAGATTTATGTAAGTAAAGAAATTCCACCATGTCAAAATAAGTATAACTCAGATCAGATAGTAATAAAGCCAATTTGAGGACCACTCAAATGGCATAAGCCGATAAAACAAAGCAAGCAGACAAAATGTAGTCAGTAATTAATATGAGAAATATAATAATGTTTAGTAAAATGTTATACCACCACATGTAAACTAAAGGAAGAGCTGCATTTTTACAGCAATATAGTAGTTCTACATTAAAGGCACATTCTCTTATGCATATGCTACCTGTACCTAAAATCAAACCACATCTGAGACTCAAAAGCATGTGTGAATGTATTTTTTTATATATATACATACATGTATACATCGATCCCTGAATGTTTTGATCAAACATACATAGATGTAAATTAAGAAAATTAGCAATTGAGATTTCTCATAGTATACAAACACTTAGCAAAACCAAAGTACTTACAACATCCCCTTCCAAATGAAAAACCTTCACATTGATTTCTTAAGCTAATTCCGGCTAGCTTGTATCTTCAAAGACACAGAAAGTCTTCATTTTCTCACCTTCACCATTCCAACCAAAAAAAACATCCTATCTACCTAGCTAGCTCCCATGCAGAAAGTTTTCTTTTGTATTGGGATGCCTGGGGAGGGACAGAGGGAGGAGCTTGGTTGCTCTTCTGACAGTAATAAATGAAATT